ACGTCGTTTAAGGGAGGACCTGTGTGTAATTTGGTAAGGGTAAAACCCTTCCCGCAGCCATTATAATTTTATAACCTTATATTTTAGTCACTGAACCCAATTTTAGATCTTTATAATTCGGTTCTTTAATTTTAATTTTATTTATTTTAGTCTTTATATTAAATAATATATTTAGGATAAATATCGCATTTAGTCCCTCATAGTTTTATAAATTTTATTTTAGCCTTGAATAAATAATTAAGGTTAAATTAAAATATTAGGATATAGATTTCTTAATATTTGAATTTGATCTTTCATTTTCAATACTTTATATTTTGATCATATAATTTTAATTTTATTTATTACATTGCAATTTTATTCTATTGTTATATTTAAATTAATAATAATTATTATTTAATCATATTAATATATTATTTGATTAATTTTATAAAAATTTTATAATGTTTATTTATTTTTTAATATCAAAGAAAATGATAGTCTTAAAGCAACTAGATGTCTGTTTTCTGATAATTTTAAATAAATAAATATTTTACTTTTATAAATTATATATATTAATTGTTTTAATTATTTATTTATTTTTTTAATATTAAAGAAAAGAGTTGTCTTAAGGTACCTAGAAGTCCTTTTCTGATATTTCTAAATAAATAAATATTTTATTTATAAATATATAAATTTATTTTTTTATAATTATAATTTTGAAATAATAATTATAAATTAAATATATTTTGAATTTTTAAATTTCTAATAATAGAGACAATTTATAATTAAAAAGTACCAATTTTGGGCGTTGTAGGGGTGTCCTTCCCTAAACGTAACCGATCACGAATCCTTTTTTTTATTAAAAAGAACGAATTTTTGGTTATAAACGCAGATCAGTTCATCTTTTAACTGATGTTTTCTTAAAAACTCTTTTAAAAGATAATTTTTAGGTATTCGACCTACCTGACCCAAAAGGCCGATGGCGACTCCCAAATTATTTATTATTCACATTATTTTTCCCGCCAAGTATAAAAATTTCGTGCCCGGACAAAAACCGGTTACGACAAAGTTCAGTACTTGAATTAAGTGTTAATTTCACGAGTGAGTCTATGTTAAGATTTACTAATGGAATTATGTGTTAAGTTCAATACTGAAATTAAATGTTTGTTTAACCGGTGTAAGTCTATGTTAAGTTTCACTGATAGAATTATGTGTTAAGCTCAGTTTTGGAATTAAGTGTTATTACTAATGGAATTATGTGTTAAGTTCAATACTGAAATTAAATGTTTGTTTAACCGGTGTAAGTCTATGTTAAGTTTCACTGATAGAATTATGTGTTAAGCTCAGTTTTGGAATTAAGTGTTAGTTTCACTGATATAAGTCTATGTTCAGTTTCACTGGTGTAAGTACATAGTATAGAAGCATGAAAGAAAGCTAAATGAATGATAGAGAGCTACGACTCACTTGGTATGAAAAAATATACAATCATATTTGATTTTCGGGTGACTCATATAGAAACCCTGAAGGATTATAGTAACTTGTACGAGAGCACCTCATCATATTTGATTTCGAGTAACTCATATGGGAGCCTCGAAGGATTAGAGTGACTCTTATGGTAGCACATAATAATGTAATTCTGGGTGCATCGTACTAAGGCCTTGAATAATTAAAATGGCTCGTATGAGAGAACCTGGTTATATATAATTTTGGGTGACACATATGAGAGCCCTGAAGAATTAGAGTGACTCGTACGAGAGCACATAATTGTATTTAATTTAGGTGACTTGTACGAGAGCCCCGAAAGATTAGAGTGACTCATACGAGAGTACCAAATCATATTTAATTTTAGGTGATTCGTACGGGAGCCCCGAAGCATTAGAGTGACTCGTATAGGAGCATCTAATTGTATTTAATTTCAGGTGACTCATATTGAAGTCCCCGAAGGATTAGAGTAACTCATAGGAGAGCACTTAAAATACTATAAATGTGCTTTAAAATTAACGAGAAATTATCTTACAGCTTATATGATGCAAGTCTGATACACAAATATATGAGCGTGTATATATATGATTATAAAATTCGAAAGATTATATTTCATACACTTCTCTCTTGTGTTAGTTGCTTTATGTTATATAAACCTCCTAGAATAATTGTACATTATTGGGCACCAGTGGCTCATTATTTTAATTGTATATCTTCTCATGATCATAGGAGTATATCGTTCTCTAGATGAGCACCATCATCGTGAAATCCTAACCTATCATTCAAAATAACTACAAAATTCTTGTGTTGAGCTAATGTATCTGTGTAGACCTTACAGTATTGGTATTTAAACGACATTTTGTCATAATAATAAATAACTAAAGACAGAATAATAAAAAATAATATTAAAAACTAAATAATTACATTAAAAAAAATTAAATTTTAGTATAAAAATAATAATATAATCAATATTATATAATAAAATTTATAATTTGTCATCATTTTATCAGCATAACAAATATGATAAATTGAAATGAGAAACGGTTTGATTGTGGATATTATTTCAAGTATTTTCAAGTTATTTTAAAACTGTCATGAAATTGTACGAATCAAATGATCTCTATAATAAAAATTATTTTTTATTTTTTTAGATATTAAATTTAAATATCATCAAAGTCAAGAATATAAATATTCAACATTAGATGATTAAAGTTTATCTTTAGGAAGATATTATCTTATATTTCTTTATTTTAATTAAAATAACTTTAACATAAAAGACAAAAGAATTTTAACATAAAAGACAAAAGAGCATTGCTTTCATCCACCGGCTCTATCCACTCCAGATGTAAATTTTCATCTCATTTAAACTTATAAAAAATAGTTAAAACATATTTAACCTCTTAAATTAGCAAATTAGTAAATTAAAGCCATATTTTACTAACTAATCCATTTTTTATCACTGTGTGGTTAATGTAAAATATTATGTTCGAAATACTCTTAACCATTTGATATGGATATTTATACGTTTTTGCAAACGTTATACTCAAACCTGAAATCTTAAAAGATAACAACAATCTCATAACGATCTATTTAAATATCATTGAGTTTTTTTCACTTTACTAATTTTTTTTATAAATTTTGATTTTTTTATAATTAAAATCCATTCATTTAATTTTATATTTATTTCAATATTTTATTATTGTTAAATATTTTATTTTTTTTAAATAAAAATAAAAGCTAACTTTAATAAAATATAAAACAATTGATATCAATCTAAAAATCTATTATGAATCAACGATCAATCATAGGTTAAACATAATTCGATGAATTATACAAATAAGAACGATAAATCGATAGATCTTTCTCTTGTAATATCTAACCTAAATATATAAAAATATAATGTTTTCCATAGACATGTAAAGAAAAAAAAATCTCACATAAATAAAAAGGCATATATTTTTAAAAAATATTTTACAGATATCACAAAAATATACTTTATCAGAAATCATATATATAATGGAAAATACTTTTATAATCAAATAAAAAATAATTTTATCATCAGATAAAGAAAATAAATAATACCGGCCAATAAAGGTACAATTTACATATTTAAGTAGCAACTAGATAGAGGATGCACAATAATTTTAGATACATTATTTCATCCTATAGATTGTTTAAGCAGGTTTTAAACACCACTTGAAGTAAAGTGATAAACAGTGGTAATATGATATTTGAACAATTATTAATATAAAATTTTCCGACTTTAACCCCCAAAACTTATGGTTTTTCTTATTTATTATCTAATTTCAATTTAACATAAAGTTTAAAAGTTTAGGATTATATTTATGCAATTAACTCGTCATTTGAGGCATGCTTGAGTAGTTCATTAAATGTGCATAAATGATTAATTAAGTTCATGAGGCATGCTTGAGTAGTTCATTAAATGTGCATAAATGATTAATTAAGTTCATGAAGCATAATTGAGTAGTTCATGATAAATCTCATGTTTGATGTTTTTCAGCATGAAAGATGACTCATTTTAACCCTTGAAACCTCAAATTAAACTTAAATAATGTTTATTAGCCTTGGTAAGACGAATGGGTAAAGTTAGGCCAAAATTTTATGCCTAAAATAGTGCATTTTTTAGCACGAGTATCGATACTAGAATAACAATATCAAAATTGTTCTTCTACAAGTGTAAATTAAGGGATTTTTGGGAAGAGTTACCAAGGGTGGAACATCGATACTCCCAGTAGGGGTATTGATACCGAGGTATATTTTTTAACATCAAATTCATTTTTGGTTTTAGTACTCGAGGTAGTATCGATATCCTCCCATGGAATTATCGATACTCCAAATAAGAGTATCGATACCAAGTGTTTTCCCAAAACATCAAATTTATTTTTGGTATCGATACCTAGAAGGGTAATCGATACTCAAGGGTCAATATCGATACTGTGAGACATAGTATCGGTACCATCGTCATGAGTTGGTTAAATAACCCAATTGATTCAAGTGTTCGGGTAAAGGGGTTATAATGCCATAAAAGCCTTGGTATACGACTACAAGCAAGAACAATCAAAGTACCTATAAATACAACTAGAAACTGAATAAGTTGGAATGACATAAATGCTCGAGAAACGACCAGGACACCCGAGTCCCTTTAGCATTATGAAGATTCTCTTTATGATGAACATTCGAATATGGTCTGCTAGTGCGTTAGTCACTTCAGTTTCCAGCTAGGTTCAGATGCCTCAAGACTCAACAGGGTAAGTTGACAGACACATATCCGATGCACGTAAAATTTTGGATCACACCAGATGCTTAAGAGCCCATACGTGGGCTAGGGATGTAATCTTTTGATGCACGTGAAAATTATGGTTCTTACCCTAAGACCCTTGAATATTCAAGGTAGGCTAGTGTGTTGTTCGAGATACAGAAAATTCCTCCGACTACACCGCTAGTCCTATCATATGTTTGTTGCTATATTTTTGCATACTAATGACTTTACGCTTCAACATGTTCATGAAATGAATACATGTAGTATTGCATAGTTATTATCGTGGAAATAAGCTTGTGAGATCAACGTTCAGAATTTGTTTTCGTGTGTAGGTCAGTAGAGGATTGACGAGGAGCTTATCGCACAGATACATTCCAGACTAACCGTCCTTCAAAGTATTTATTGAGTTGTTAGAGGGCATGTATTTATGTGGACTTTGTATTAATCCAAGTCATAACTCTGTTTGAATTAAAACTCAGTGTTTTTACTTTGTGCGTATTGGGAGCTTCTTGTATTTTGTAAACCTTGATTTATGGTGTTTCATTTCATATTATGGTGAATGTTTCATTAATGTTTTACAAAATGTTTTGAACAAAAAAATTTTGATTAGCCACTCTGGTGGTCTATGTAACATTTTAACCGTATGATATTTGGGTCATACCGAATTAGGGTGTTACATTATGACACATTTTTCTCTATCTTTTGACACATTTTAGGTTGTTTAATTGCTTTTTATTTATCCTTTTTATCAGGGTTGGATTTGACATTGCTACACTGATTAAGATGACACTTATTTGTAATCATGATGATATTTTATGCTTTCGACCCTTAGATTAGATTAGATATGCGATTTATGTTAGTGGATAGTTTTCTCATGTCGTTCGACTTTTATTAGCAGTTTTTCGATGATCTTTCAATAGCTTGGTTCTCTCTTATGACTCATTTGTCAATGCGTTCAGATCTGTTCATATCTATCTTTTGTTTAAGTTTATTTGGTTATATTTTTGCAACCTTTTCCTTGTAAGGTACTATGTGATATTAAGTTACTAGTTTGTTGTATTAATGACTATGAAAAATATTCTATTATGAGTTTAGTTTATAGCTATAATTGTAAACTTTCATTATAATTTTTAATATTTCCTATTTCTAATAAAACTAGCGGCCTCTATCTGTAAAAAAGTTATATAATTGAATTTTTAACTTTAGCACCACTTGTTTTTTTCTTTGATCTTAGTTTGGATAGCAGCGGCACCAGTCTTCATGTTGATTGTCAATCACCGATATTTCTTATTTTTTCTTTTACTTTCTTACTTTAAACCTTTGTATTTCTTTTTTTTTTCAATTTTTAATAACTATACATTTATGGCACACTTTTATTTATCTTTATGATACATTTTCTTTGGTACGCTTTTAATATTTGTTATCGATCATTTGATTGTTCTCTTCATTTACTTTTCTCATGGTTGGATTTGACATCACATTGATTTATCAAGATGCCACTTATTTGTTATCTTTTTGATCTTCAATACTTTGAACTCTCGAATTGGATTTGGATATGTAGTTTGCGTTCAGATATAGTTTCCTCATGATGCTTGACAATGATTTGTGATTTTCAGTGGTCTTTCAGTAGTTTAATCCATGTTGTAGTTCGTTTTTTATACATGTAGGTTCACATAAAAAGAAGATGGACTAATGCTTCTTATTGATCCACACGACCAAACCATGTAAAAGAAGAACAAAATAACAGTAGACTTGGGACTACTTTTTGAATGGGATCCTTATGTTATTTGGTTGACATGTATTTTAGATTTACGGTCATCTGTGCCTTAGCTTTCCAAGGGTTCTTGAATTGCATAAATTTGATATCAGGAACTTGAGATACACTCAATTTAGAGAAGATGTTGCATGCAGAAATTCTTATACTCGATTTTGTAATTATTTCAAATTTTTAATATTTTTATTGATTATTTGTAATATAATTTAATATAGAATGATACATTAACTTTTAGGATTAGATTTATTATTTTATTAGGAATTAAGATTGAGTTAAAATATTATTCTTATTTTATTATTATTGAAGAATTAGAATTAAAACATGTTTAGTTTATTATTATTTTTATACATTAGCTATTTAGGACTTTTAGAACTCCTCTCCTATATAAAAGAGGCTTCATTCAACTTTGTAATCACATATTTTCTTGAATTCAATACATTGAGAGTTTATCTTTGCAAGTGTTGATTACTTGTTCTTTCGAAGCTTATTTTCATTAAGTTGTTTTCAAGTTCTTCGTGAGAGATCTTCAGACTCCGGTTTGTCTCTTCATTGTGATTACGAGGGTTGGTTAGAGTCATTTATCGAGTTTTCCTTTTCATTGTGACTAGGAAGGTTCGATAGGAAAATTATCCATTTATTTCCATATTCCACAACACCGTCATCTTTTCCTTCCATTCAAATCCTTCTGCTTTCTTCATAAAGTGTAGAGATTTCTAGGTTTAATTCCTCAATGAGAGCAACAATAATTCATTTGCACGCATACACCACCAAGGTACCCTAACGAAGCTAGTTCTCACAAGTTCATACCGCCAATGTACCCCAACGGAGCTAGTTCTCACAAGTTCATCGTTTTTCAGGTTCTTTATCATTTTTTTCAATTTAGTTTCAATTCCTTCTTGTTAGTTTGCTATTTTACAAAAAAATCAAAAAGAAAAAAGAAAAGAAAAAAAGGCAAAAAAGAGAAAATGCTAAAAATAAAAGAATATAATAATTGCAAACGAAGAAATTTATGGATAATTTTTTATAGGTACTTGTGTTGTTTTAAGGGAAATATCCAACTCAAAATTCAAACCAATCAAAATTCATTTGACCACTCAAATCCATTATACAAGTTTCATTGACAGATTTGGGGCAATGCCATTAATGAATTGCCACATGATTTTTCAGAAAGAATTCCGTGCTGAATTTTTCTAGAATGAAACTAATATCATTAAGTAATATTAAAAAATTATAATTTTTTTTAAATCGACACCCCCTAAAAAATTTTCTCAAGTTGATCCAAGAAAATAGGTTTTTATGGGTTTAGGTTTTTTTAACTTTTCTTGAATCTTATTGCTTTAGGTTCCTTTGTTTTACCTTTTCTTTATTCCTCTACATCATCTAACACATTCTCTTCCTTGTGTTAGTAGGACTAAAAGAGTTTGCATACTTTTTCTTCTTCCTTGATTCTCGTTCTATTGGAATCTTGCCTTTGTTTAACCTCTTAGATCTTTACAATAAATCTTTCCTCTTTGTTAGAGATTGAGCTCTGATACGAACATTGAAAAAACTTTTTGGTAAGAAAGTTTTAAAGAGTATAAGATTGACTTACTTGGCTCTTGGTGTATTATTCCTTGGAGTGACTTTTGAGGTTTCTTGTTTCTTTGATTTTCTTTTTCCACTTTACATTGTTTTTTATTATTGTTATTCTCAAGATGTTCAAGCCAAAGGTATCGCAATCAAGCATTCCACAATTCTATAGTGTGAAAGATCCACATGCCTACTATGAGTGGGAAACCAAGATGGAATTAATATTCCACGACTATAAGTGTTTCGAAGAAGAAAAAAATATCTATAGCTACACATAGACTCAATGACAAGGAACTATTTTGGATTGTGCAAGTTTTATATGGAAAACATGCAACCAAATCCTAGGAAAAGCTGAAATTTATGATGAGAGAGCAGTTTGTTCCAAGTTATAACATCTAAGAACACATAAAAAACTTTAAAAACTACAACAAGATAATAGATCTGTAGAGGATTATTATCAAGAGATGGGATCATTAATACAATGAACAAGGTATTGTGACAAATATTACCACTGTTATCGATTTGTGGAAGGTCTCAATCTAGACATTCATGATGAACTTGATAAACAATACTATGAAGATCTTCAGGATGCACTACAAAAAACCATCACAACTGAAAACAAAGAACAAAGGAGATATCAGTTCAGAGACAATTGGCAAGGTATTTCAAATCCTTTAATTTCTTCTTTTACTCCACCTTCTACCACGGATAATAAATCAGACACTGACATCGATCAATACGATGCTAGTAGCATTATAATGGAAGATAGAAATCTTCAATCATTGGAAACTAAAGATGCACTTGAAAATCAAGTGATGAAATTTTGTGAGGAGGGTGGAAAAAGTCAAAAAGAAAAAAGACGATGAAAAAGAGGAATAAACAAAAGAGGTCATAACCCATAAAAGCCAAGAACATGACCCGCGGGAGGGGAGTGAACGTATTTATGAGAGGAAAAAAGTAGTTGAAAATACATATGTGAGCACAAAATAATTGAGAGAAAACTTTATTCACAAAGAGCCTTGTATTCTTGTCCACTTTAGACAACCATTGGTTTTGATTTCTAACAATAACACTAGCTTGCCTAGTACATTTTTTCTTCTTTTACAGAGTTGTCAAATGTTGTTAAGTAACCCACATGATGAGTTACCACCAGAAAGCCTTAATCACTATGCCATATCAGTGATGAATCACGATTTACAAGAGTCCAATGGTAAATGTTTTATAAGCTTTTGTTTCAACACATCTAATTATATTTCTCTTGGATTTTCAAATTCGTGCATTAATCTTTTTGAGGAGAGAGGGAATGATACATTCACCAGAGTCCATAATGATGAAAATGCATGCTTCTTTGGACTAATGTTTCTACTCAAACCTATTAGAAGAACAAAGTCTCGAAGATTCAAAGCATACCTATTCGGTAAGCATAATGTGATAAAATCATTCAAAGGTTCTAACGTTTCTCCCTTTGATGTTTTAGATTCAAGGTTAAATCCTTTTGAAGACATGGAGGATGATACATGTACCATAGGGCTCACATCAAATGAAGATAGACTAACACTTCCAACTGATCTACACGACAAGGCTTGGAAAAAATAACAAAATAAAAGTAGACTTTTGACTACTTTTTAAATGGGATCCTGATACTATTTGGTCTTAATATGCGATCATTTTAGTGAAGATAATGCATGTAGAAATTCATGTACGACATTAATACGAGATTTTGTAATTATTACTAATTTTCTTTTATTCATTATTTGTAATATAATTTAATATATAATGATGCATTATCTTTTATGATTGGATTTATATTTTATTAGAAATTAAGATCAAGCTAAAACATTATTCTTAGTTTATTATTAATTACGAATTAGAATTATAATATGTTTAGTTTATTATTATTTTTATTCATTAGTTATTTAGGAATTTTAGA